TATTTACCCAAGAATAGTGGGATTGACCGTCACATTATAACGCCCCCACGGCTGAAAGGGCGAGCATGTTTGGTGTGACGGGGATTCGAACCCGCGACCCTCAGATTGCGAGTCGAGTGCCCTAACCACCTGGCCATGCCGGGCCTCCCAGAATTAGTCCTTCTCGGGACTATCCTGGAGAGCGAAGCAGATTAGTAGTCGAAACTATGATAAAAAAATTAACCCATGATCCTTCCCTCAACCAGAGGAATCGGACGTCAAAAACACCGGATTTTCCCGATTTTGGTGAGACTTAAAATAATGTAGCATACGATGAGATAAGACGATTACAATTTAAAGTTTCCAAACCGGACAAAAATTGACCTCGTTATGACTGACCAGTGACTACATCATCAGCAAAAACCCCATAGTTAATGACAGTACTTCTTGTTTTGTCACCGACGGGACCGCTACCTGTTTTTCAGACCAAAGCTCAAAAGATCTTCATCAGATAGCTCCGCTGACCGTGACCAGAACTTTGCTACTCTTTGCCATATCGTCATCAGTCATCATTATTCCTTCGATTGCCTGCATGTGCAAGGATCCGAGATGTTCGAATTTTAAACTGCGCAGATAGCTATTGTGGATGCTATTACGATGGACTTTTTAAAAGTCCGTATTGAAGCCAACGAACCTATCAAGCCTAAACATATGTGACGACACTCAAAAATAGGTTTGGTGCTAACTAGGAGAGTAGTGCTAGTAGTAGTAGTAGTAGTCTTCCACCAGATCAGAACATGAAGAACAAAGTCCTCAACCTGAAACAGACAATGAAGAAATAAGGCATAATTTGTTTTGAGAATAATAAAAAAAAAACAGTTCGTTTGTGTGACCGTTACTGGTAAGGTGGTTTGACCACTCCGAAACCCTGTGTCTTTGTGGATTGCCTGTTTGGATACAGTAGATTCCGGACTTTCAATAAATCATTATCGTAATTTCTTGTTCACTTCCCCTGCCACCCAAATCCCTACTTCATTTCTAGTTGAGGGAGTGATACTGTTTTATAAATAATTATTATTTAGTTATAAAAAAATAAATACACAAAAATAAAGTTAATGATAAGATTTAGGGTGTATTTTTCTTATAGCAAAGTCACATCGAGCTATCTACTGTGTTCACCGAGGAAAATCGAACCCCTGATTTTAGTGCTGTAGACCCGTAGAATTACTGCTGTTTCAGTTGGGGGAGTAGATAGAGGGATCTTATAGGCTACTAAAATATATATATATATAATTCTTTGTGTTCATACTTTAATGTGTATACATATATATGTAATTAATTGTGTTCCTGTTTTAATGTGTACACACACACACATATATATAATTATCTGTGTACATGTATTAATGTGTACACACACACACACATATATATATAATTATTTGTGTACTTGTATTAATGTGTACACACACACACATATATATATATAATTATTTGTGTACTTGTATTAATGTGTACACACACACATATATATATAATTATCTGTGTACATGTATTAATGTGTACACACATATATATATATGTATAATTATCTGTGTACATGTATTAATGTGTACACACACACATATATATATATATATAATTATTTGTGTACTTGTATTAATGTGTACACACACACACACACACATATATATATATGATTATCTGTGTACATGTATTAATGAGTACACAAACACACACATATATATATATATGATTATCTGTGTACATGTATTAATGTGTACACACACACACACACACACACATATATATATATATCCACACAAGTAATATATATTACAACTCTTCAATGTAGAAGGTTAAAAGAGAAAGAGCCGGAAACCAGCGAAACCCGTTATTTAAGGAGCGTATAATTTTAGATAATTTTACAAGTTAAAAGAAAAAGGAAAACAAACTATTGTATGGGAAAGTCCTGAAAATAGCGACGGATATACACAGGTGATACGCATACAGGACTAGGTGATTAATTTATCTATCAAAGAAAAGAGAATACGTTGTACAATACACTGGTTTCATTTACACAGATCATTACGCCCTGTTTTCGTGATGCCGTACAGTTTATCAATATATGATTGTGAAATATTGTTCTAAATGTCCTGTATTATTTCCCACAATTCAGCCAAGTTGTTTCGTCGCCTTAATCTCACCTTTGAACTTCTCAGTTCTTTACATAAACCTGTACACTCTCAAGCGTGTTCATAGGAGGACTTTGTGTAACCTAGGCGACGGTTGTGGGTGTTCCATCGCCATCTATACCGTAAAGATATAATTTCAACACATTTGTTATATACTTAAGATCGTTCGTTAATACGGCAGTCAGGGTGCCATCAGTTTTGTGTAGACCACCGACACTTGATCTGACTCTCTGCCAGCTTCACTGTAGATGTTGTACGTAGACGATGTTACTGTTCTCCTATCAGCCGTAGAATAAAGTGTCGTTAATTGTTGCTGAAAAATTTGACCTTGGATTCATCCATAAAGAGCACTTGTCTCCGGCTTTGTTCGTTCCACGGCTTGTTATCCAATGCCCATTTCAACTTATATATATCGGCTTTCTCAGTTAATGAAATATTTAATTATTACGTTTTGTCTACATAACTATTCAACGGTTCTATACATTTTCTGTTACCGTGCAGATTTACGAATACGTAAGGTAGTTGTTTTTCTCAGCATCAATTTTTGAACAGCTATTCGCCTATTAAAACCACTGTTTATTAATGGTTTTATTACTATTCTTGAGGTAACATTTATGCGAAGTCGTTGACAAGATCTGCATTCGACTGCCGTCTATCTCACAAAGAATATACCCCGAGATACTTAAGATTCCTTTGGAGGTTTTCGTATTTTTAATTCGATCATTGCGGTTACTATTAGCAACAGTTTCATCTATCCTCATCAGAGTCTTCTAATGCAACTCAGTTTTACTGCAATGTTTCATATTGAGTATTCTTGATTAGCCAAACTTTGATTTATACATGCTTGCCATGTGGTATTTCAGTCCTGGGAGCCATGAATCGATCACACTGCTACTGCTGGGCACGGTATTAACTACCTGTAGGGTTTATAGTGACTTTACTCTGGTGTATTTCATTTTCACACTTAGCATTTGCATTACATATATATTAGAAGGACGCAGAAGACATAAGTGGCGACAACAAAATAAACATACTTTATCCTCAAAACAACATATTAACTACGCAGACAGGCGAAGCATTGATGAATAGGATGACGCCATTTCTGACGAACTCCCTCTTTATATTTCCAGATGACTGATTATTTGTTTTTATACTCCAGTTCGATAGATCTGAGTATCCCTCTTTACATTTCCAGATGACTCGTCATCGTTCGTTTTTATATTCCAGTTCGATATATATTGAGTGTCCCTCTTTACATTTCCAGGTGACTCTTATCATTCGTTTCTATACTACAGTTCGATAGATCTGAATGTCACTCTTTACATGTTTAGATGACTCGTTATCATTCGTTTTTAAACCCAAGTTCGATAAATAATGAGTGTCCCTCTTTACATGTCTAGATGACTCGTCATCATTCGGTTTTATACTCCAATTCGATAAATAATGAGTGTCCCTCTTTA